CCTGCGAGAGGTTCTGCACTCTGGCCCCCAGCTAAGCTTCCGGAATAGCAAGTGGCAGCTGGATGGGGGCTCCCGGCCTGTGATTGGCTGCCACTGTTGTGGTTAGCCCTCCATGGTGGGGGCTGGGAAGGAGAGTGGAGACTGATAAACAGCAGACAATGTGCTCTGAGGGCCAGAGACAGCAAGGAAGGAGCAGAGAACACCCTCTGCTTTCTCTTTGGAAGCGAGTCATATCAACCAAATTGCAGACATCTCCACACTTTGGTCAGGCAGCCTTCTGAGCAAGGTAACACACTTTTCATGCCTCGAGCCAGCATGTCTATTACATCTTTATGTCTCTAATTAGAAGTACTGGGCCTTTTTTTCTTGGAGGCGATGAAGGGATGGAGTGAGGGGAGCTGACATGACTTTGGGTTTTCTTTCTAACGTGTGAATATAAAAGAGATACAACAAGCCAAGTTTAAGAACCTTGATGGTACGCAGGGAAGATACAAAATATCTGGATTACTATAAATCTATTGGAAGAGAAAGGGTTTAAAGGGTGCTTCTTGAATGAATGAGTAAACAAATCAGCAGAAGGAAAAGCATGAAACTCTTAGAAACAGGGCAGGAGAAATAATCAGGAACCACCAGATTCCAGAGGGATAGGGGGTGGAAATGTGTCATTTCTCAAGTGTAGCCAGCAATGCCAGGTGCTTCTTGGACTCAACTGGACAAAACAGGAGACCAGTGCTTCTCAAAGTGTCCACTCACATTAGGATCACTGGAATGCTTGTTAAGTTCAATTCCTGGACTCCACACCAGACAAACAACCAGACCCTCTGGGTCCTGATGACTTGCATTTTTAAAAAAATCTCCTTAGTGGTTCTGATGTGCAATAATTTTGAGAATTGCCTAGGTCCCTGCTTTGAAGTTGTGTTCTTGGGTCGGGATTCCCGACCGGGGTTATGGTAGTACATGTCTCCCTCTGAAGTGGCTCATGCAAGAAGTTGTCTGAAGGAAAGGCGAGGATCTCAGGATTATTTTATGGATGTCTGAGACTTATAAAAAGGCTTTTGATGCTGCCAAGTTTTTGATGCACAATGTTTGACAAATGATAGACAATAGCATTTGTGGAGTGACTGAACGGATGAGTGGGACAGGTATGATAATGAAAGGTCACTCTTGGGTTACTTGGAGATTGCGTATAGCCCAAGTGGGAAAGGTTAGGAGGGAAGATTATGAGCCAAGGCGTGGGGTGTGTGGGGGGGGGGAGAGTGGCTGGAATGGGAGTAGGCGGCACTGCTGCTGTGGCCCAGTCTCCTGAAGTCGCCAGCAAGATCACCCACCGAAAATTGCAGCTTCTGCCCTGACCAAGCCACCTCGGACTACTTGGTCAAAACGCATCTGTGCCCAGTGGAGAATGGCACCCCTGCAGCTGTGATGGCAGAGGATGGCAGGGCTGAGATGGCAGTGACCAGTGGGGACAGGGCTGGGCCAGCATCGGCCCTCTGCCTTTTCATCCTGAGGCTGGTCTATAGCTGAGATCTTTTGTTAGGAGAAAGGAGAACCAATATTTGTAAGATTTCGAAGTTTTAAAAATTGACTGCAAAATAACTCGTAATCCTAACTTCATGCTGTCTACAGGTCCATATTTGTCTCCTTTCTATGTGTTTATCAGAAAAGAAAGATAAGCTAATGGTCAGAGCTGAGACTTAACTGGGTCTTAAACTTTCCAGGAGAAATTTAGAAATATGGAAAGGTGACAATGAGTACATATAAATCTAGTCTTTAAAACAATTTTATCCAAAATGTTCACAAAATTTAATAAAAGTAATACTTGTGAAAATTCAAATGATACAATGAAATAAAAAAGGAAAGAATCCATCTTATCAGTGCCAATGCTATTTTTCAGAGATTAAACACTGTTAAGATTCTAGTGTATAACCTTCGGGGGTTTCTGTGCTTTCAAGCGTACACAAATAGGGGTATACATGCACAAATAGGTCCTGTTATCCTTGGTATCGTCATTCTGTTCTGCTTTTTCATGCAGGCATCTTTCCATGTCACGGATGCATATAGAAATTGCACATATGCACCAATGCATAGAGAACATTTAGTTTTCTGCATGGTTTTCCATTGTATGCCTGGACCATAGTTATTTAATCATGCCCCTTTGGTAATTATTTGCACTGTTTTCTAATTTTCAGAGTAATGATTTTAAAAAGTCTCAGTCTCCATATAATTATCACTGTATACCTGTGGGAATGTTCTATAGAATAACTATATTATAATTTACTAAAAAGAGATGTATCACTCAGAGATAATGTATTTACATTTTTTTTTTTTTTTTTGAGTTGGCGTCTCACTCTGTCACCCAGACTGGAGTGCAGTGGCCGCTCCCGGCCACCGCAGCCTCGCCTACTGGGCTCTGGGGATCCTACTGCCTCAGCCTTCCAAGTAGCTGGAATTACAGGCATGCACTACCATGCCTGGCTGATTTTTTGATTAACTGTAGAGATGAGGTCTTGCTGCCCGGGCAGGTCTCGAACCCATGGGCTCATGCAATCCACTCACCTCAGCCTCCCAAAGGTGCGGGATTACAGGCTGAGCCACCAAGCCCAGCTTGTATTTACATTTTTTAAAGACATGGTTAAATTGTCCACTAGGTTTTTTATACCAATTTATATTTTTTCAAGAATATATGGAGATATCTTAATTCCTCCATGCCTTCATTTAATGCAGAGTGATATACATAGTTGTAACTTTTTTCAACTGGATAGATTTTTAAAATTCCTTAAATCCAGCTCTTGAAAGTTCTCTCTTCCAAAAGTAATACATGTTTGGTTTAAGGAGAAAAAAAACAGGTAAGGATAAAAAATATAAAGCATGTAAAGATTTCACAGATAACTGCCATTAGCATCTAGGTGTATATTTCCCTAAAAACAAGAAAAATAATAATTCCTTCTACCTCTTTCTTGTTTCTAATTTGAATAAACTTTTAACAGTTTAACTGGAGAATAATCTAATAAATAAATTTGATTCAAATGTCAAAGGCGAATAACTGCTTGGTGATGGCAGTTTTTCCATAGAAGTATTTAAATAAATGTATTTTGGTGGATTTTGGCATAATAACTCAGGCTAATGGGAGTCAGAAGGGGAATATGTAGGGTGGGGAGATAGTTCTAGGGGTCCTACCAACATGTCTTGTGATTGACTTACTCCATGTACAAGGTCAGCATTTAACTTGATGAACTCTGGAGATGTTGATGCATTTTAAAAAAGTAACTACTCAACTATTATCTTGGAAAGTTAGAGAGCAAGCACTGTAGGAAAACCCAAGAAAATTAAATGCTAAGAATGTGAAGGAATTTGAGGATGAGCTCAAGCAAACAAGGTGGGGGATCCAGGGAAAAACCTAGCACTAGCCACAGAAGATAATTAAGGGACAGAGTTGAGGTACAAGCAGCTTTGAGGTGTTTGTTGGGTTGTAGTTGAAGTGCTTTTTGAGGTTAAAAAAAATTCCTTTGAAATGGTTTGTAATTGTTTGACTCTTGCATAGTCTTGCACAGGGACCGATCTAACAGGATTTTTCTTTTAAGCAATTCTTGGAAATTTGCTTTTAATCTTTATAAAAAGCATCAACCTCTGATACATAATGCACGAAAGATGGACTCAACCCTGGTATTTCAAAGGGATGAGTTGAACAGAAACGTTGGTAGTAGCAGTCAGGATTAACCTTGCCCCTCTGTCCTCCTAATCCCACTCCAGGTCAAAGTGTGTTCATTGCAGGATTTGCCTCCATGACTACACGGCCATAAAATTTCTCATCAATTTGGTTAATTAATTGGGAGAAAAACACACTACTTGATATAACTGGTGGGTCAAAAGAGTTAACCCAGGCACATTTGAGGAAGGCAGATGAGATGATAGGTTGAAAATGCATTGGCTGTTTTTCCAGTTATGTATGCTAAAGAATTTGGAAAATACTGGTCTCATTGGGTCTAGAAAGTACTCTAATGGCATTGTCAGATGACTTTTCTGCATCTCTGCAGACCTCTACACTACAACCCAGAGCAGCAGGGTTTCCTGGCTTATGTAATTGCTAATTTTTTTTAACAAGAAGATAAACACTATTCCCACCCCTTCTTATTGCAAACTACACAGCTAATGACCATCAACCAGTAATGACTTTCAGAATGACCTGTGTGAGCTTTATCTGAAGCCACTTGAGCATTTTATCTTTAAAATCCTTCAGAAGCTTAGTACATGCACACTCTGATTTAGAGTTGTGTGGCTTTTGTTTCTCATGTAGACACAGCCTCATAATTTACAGTAGCATTCACTAATTAAAATTGTAAGCATAATTACTATCCATAATACTTATTACTAGTTTGCATTCATAAAGCTCAAAATTCACTTCATCCTTTCAAGTAGTGAGTAATTAGTTTCTTTGGGTTTATAGCTTTATCATCCCTTTATGACCCGTTTGGAAGAAAGAAACAACCAACCTCCTGGAAGACTGCTTTAAAAAGCTGGAAATATATTGCCCAGTCAGTGCAATGAGGCTAATACAATGTAGAAAGTATTACTTTTCTTTGGTTTTAGTAGCCAGTTTATCTTTGAACATTTACTTAGCAAATAACTACTGAGTGCCTAACGTGTACTAGGAACCTTGGGGAGAGAAAAATGAATCATTCAAAGATTCTGTCCTCAAAGACCTTAAGGGTTTTGTGAAAAGGAAATAAGATTTTACACACATTTAAAAATATATACATATACACATAAGGCATATGTAACCATAAGTGTTGCCAGAACAGGAGATAATTCTATTATCTGCTGCATGATCACCACTTAACATAGCATTTTAACACTGGGGATCTAATAAATATCTTTTGGAATAAGTTAGTGAATAAATAGGTGGATGTATTGATTTGCAGTATTTCCAAGATTCGTCAGTAGGATACTGGCATTTTTCCTAATGTGACTTGCTTTCTTTGTCCCCAGGTACTTCAGCCAGCATGGCTGTCTCATTTCCACCCACCCTGGGACTCAGTTCTGCCCCAGAGGAAATTCAACACCCACATATTAAATTTTCAGAGTGGAAATTTAAGCTTTTCAGGGTGAGATCCTTAGAAAAGACGCCTGAAGTGTCTCTAAAGGAAAAGACAGACTCGTCCGAGGGGAAGCCCTCTCTGGAGCAATCTCCAGCAGCCCCAGACAAGGCTGGCGATCAGAAACCAGCCCTGAATCATCGGGTATTAAAAGCCTCACCTAAGTTTTCTAAGAAATCCCACGATGACAGGAAAGCACGAGGCAAAGCTGTCCACCAAGCCCACCTGCGCCAGCTCTGCCGCATCTGTGGGCGTTCTTTGAAAACGGATGGGCACAGCAGAAGATATCCAGTCCACGGGCCTGTGGACGCTCAAACCCAAGACCTTTTTCGAAAGAAGGAAAGGAGAGTGACTTCCTGGCCAGACCTGATCGCCAAGGTTTTCTGGATCGATGTGAAGGCAGACGTCGACACGACTCACCCCACCGAGTTCTGCCACGACTGCTGGGGCATCATGCACCGGAAGCTGGGCAGTGCCCCAGGTGGAGCTTATTTCCCCAGGAACGCAACCGTGGAGTGGCCCCCCCACACACCATCCTGTGACATCTGCCATCCTGCCCGTCGGGGACTCAAAAGGAAGAGCCCTCCGCCAAATGTGCAGCTCAGCAAGAAGCTCAAAACCATGCTTGGCCGAGCGAGATGGGCCCGGCGGCGCAAGAAACGAGCTCAGACCAGGCTCTGCAGCAAGGACGTCCTGAAGAAGATCGCCAACTGCAGTAAGATCCATGTTAGCACCAAGCTCCTGGCAGTGGACTTTCCGGAGCATTTCATGAACTCGATCTCCTGCCAGATTTGTGAACACATCCTGGCTGACCCTGTGGAGACCACCTGTAAGCATGTATTTTGCAGGGTCTGCATTCTCAGGTGCCTCAAAGTCATGGGCAGCTATTGTCCTTCTTGCCAATACCCATGCTTCCCCACTGACCTGGAGAGTCCAGTGAAGTCCTTTCTGAGTGTCCTGAACTCCCTGATAGTGAAATGTCCAGCAAAAGAGTGCAATGAGGAGATCAGTCTGGAAAAGTATAATCACCACGTCTCAAGTCACAAGGACTCAAAAGAGACTCTCGTGCATATCAATAAAGGGGGCCGGCCCCGTCAGCATCTTCTGTCGCTGACTCGGAG